AAATCTCTTTCCCCTAAAGAGTTAGTCCGGATTCATGTTCCTAAACCTTTGGACAGGAATGATGGAACATTTTTGATAAGATACAGGATGTATGAAACTGCCAATGAAGGGCTGAAGATAGAGGTCCTTTATGGTGACGAACATGTGGCTCAGTCTCCCTATATCTTGAAAGGTAAGTGATTATTATATACTCCAGAATCATCCCTACATGCGTGGGCCCCATGCCTTTCAGAATGGGTTATGATGACCTTCAAGTCATGTGCAACAGAGTAAACCTTGTATACATACCTCCTGGAGCTCAATTTAACTTGATATTTTAAGGGAAAGCAAACTTAAGTAATTAAAAGAGATTTAAATGATAAAAAAAAAGTCTTGTGTATTTATCCACGTAGTTACCATTTCTGGTCCTTTTCATTCCTTTATATAGATCTGTATTTCTATCTAGTAACATTTGCCTTCTGCCTAAAGGATTTCTATTAATGTTTCTTTTACTGTGAGGATGCTCGTGATGAATTCTTCCAGCTTTTGAATGGCTGAAAAAGTCTATATTTTGCCTTTGTTTTTAAAAAACATTTCACTAGTTATAGAATTATAGGTTGATGGGGCTGTTTTTTCTTTTAGTACTTTAAAGATTCTGCTCCTCAGTCTTCTCACTTGCATTGTTTCCAACAATAGATCTACCATTATACTTACCTTTGTTTCTCTGTGCTGCTTTTAAGGTTTTCTCTTTATCAGTTGTTTTGAGCAGTTTGATTATTATGTGCCTTGGTGCAGTTTTCTTCATGTTTCTTGTGTTTGGGGTTTTGGAGCTTCTGGGATCTTTAAGGTTTATAGTTCTCATCAAATTTAGAAAAATTTTGACCATTATTTCTTCAAAATCTTTTTTTTTTTTTTTGGGACACAGTCTCCTTCTGTTGCCAGGGGCTAGAGTACGGTGGCATCAGCCTAGTTCATAGCAACCTCAAACTCCTGGCTCAGGCAATCATCCTGCCTCAGCCACCCAAGTAGCTGGGACTACAGGCATGCACCACCACGCCTGGCTAATTTTTCTGTTTTTAGTAGAGATGGGAGGTCTGGCTGTTGCTGAGGCTGGTCTTGAACTCCTGACCTCAAGCGATCCTCTCCCCTCAGCCTCACAGAGTGCTAGCATTACAGGCATGAGCCACCATGCCTGGCCTCTATTTCTTCAAATATTTTTTTTTGTTCCACCCCAGCTTACCTTCAAGGATATTAATTACCTATATATTAGGCTTGAAATTATCCCATGGTTCAATAATATTCTTTATTTTTTAAATTCTTTTTTCTCTCTATTTCATTTTTTATAGTTTCTGTTGCTGTCTTTAAGTTCACTAATCTTTTTGTCTTCAAAGTCCACAATTTGTCATTCATTTTATATAGTGTATTTTTCACCCTTGATGCTTTTTTATCTTCCTGAGTATTTTTCTGGGATGCAGTTGAGTTACTTGGAAATAGTTTAATCCTTTCAAGTTTTGCTTTTACAGTTTATTAGGTGGGACTAGAACCATGTTTAGTTTAGGGCTAATTATTCCCCACTACTGAGGCAATACACTTCCGTTTACTCTACCCAAGCCCCATGAATTAGGAGGCTTTCCAGTCTGGCTGGTACCAACTGGCACTATTCCCAGCCCTCTGTGTGTGATAGGTCCTGTTCCCTGTGGTCATTTTAGATGGTTCTTCCCCTGCCTTGGATAGTTTCTTCACACACATGCACTAATCATATGTTCTGCTAAATATTTAAAGGGGACTTTCTACAGATTTCTAGAGTTCTTTCTCTGTGCAGTGCTCTCTTTTCAGATACTTTGTCCTACAAATTCTAGCTGCCTTGATCTCCCTGGACTGTCAGCTCTCTTTCTTCAACTCATTGAGACTTCCTGGCTTTGCCTACATCCCCCCTCCCTACATTACAACCTGGAAATTCCCTTAAGCTATAGGAATTGTAGGGCTTACCTTATTTGTTTCCCATCTTTCAGACTCACTGTCTTTCATTGCCTGATACCCAGTGTCTTAAAAATAGTTGTTTAATGTATTTTGTCTGGGTGTTTTTTGATTGTTTCAGGTGGGAGGATAAATGAGTCCCAGTTAGTTGGCCTGAAGTAGAAATCCTTAAAAGATTTAAATAATTTTTAAAATAATTTTTATATTGAAATAAACATAGATATATCTTGAAACAAGATATAAAATTTGCATAAATCCTTTTTTAAATGGGCCTTCAGAGAAGTTCTGTGCTTATGGATGGTCACTTAAAATTACCCTGCCAGACCCCCTTGGGTTACCCATTTCTTCTTTGAGAGGTGCTGATTTTAGGGGCTCAGAGGAGGAGACCCCACCTGGTCTTTAAAAATCACTACCCCTACTATACTATAATGTCTAAAAATTAATACATTTTCATTTTCCTTGTTAAAAGGTAAGTTTTTTTTGGTATGTTTATCAACCATTTATACCTCACCAGAAATCAATTTATCAGCTAATTGACTGAGAGTAGGTTAGACTGGGAGAGGGCATATGCTATACTAAGTTTCCAGGGTGGTGTGAGAAGGGGACAGAAAGTAGAAGAGTAGGACTCTGACGTAACTGATTTGACTAGGGCAGATTATCTCTGTCTGGATAATCTTAGGATCTTAGAATTCACCAGAAGCAGGGGCAGAAACAACCCCTGTGTTGGTGCTTGTTAATGGAGTGTGGCATTGTTTGTGTTTTACCTTCCCTAGGACCAGTGTACCATGAATATTGTGCGTGTCCGGAAGAGGATCCTCAGGCTTGGCAGACAATTCTTTCTTGTCCAACTGAGGAACCACAGATTGCAAAAGATTTCGCTTCCTTCCCCAGCATCAATCTCCAGCAGATGCTAAACGAAGTCCCCAAAAGGTTTGGGGACGAGAGGGGTGCTGTTGTCCATTACACAATTCTCAATAACCACATTTACCGGAGATCTTTAGGGAAATACACAGACTTCAAAATGTTCTCTGATGAGATTTTGCTGTCATTGGCAAGAAAGGTATGAGAAATGAATGAATGGATTCCAAAAATAGTATTATGTAATTATTTAGTTGTAGCATTTAAATACTTACAATGGCAAAGGATGAAAATGGATTTCAGGCTCAGAAATGTACATCTAAGATATTTACCACCTAAGTGTTCATAAGTCCTCCATCTTTGTGGATCTCACTTTCCTATAAGATTTAAATTAAATAGTTTGAGCCCCCATCCCAGGTAGGTAGGACATACAGGGCACTCCCAGGGTTTCTGTGAATTCCCAGATGTTTATAGCCTGGAGGTCACTTCTTTAAGTTCTCTGTTCCTGCTGAATACTCCTCTATTCAGATTTCACCTTTTGTAGCTATTTTCTTCTCTTCACCTCAAAATGACTTGAATTTAGAACACATTTTCTTTGTTTTACCCTAAGCACATCTATTAATAGGAGATAGTGTGCATGACACATTTTGTTGAAGGTTGGGGTAACAGAGAGAGGTTATTTTGTACAGTGCATACTAAAAAACAAACAAACAAAAACCCTGACATTTAAAAATAGAAATCTCTGCACCAATCTGGTTCTCAGTCATCCTTGCTTCTGGGAATCTCTCACTGGCTATTCTTGATCTTCAGGTCTTAGCCTCTTAATAAATAAATGTGGCTTGGCCCTGCTGTCCTTCAGGCTCTCCACGTCCCCCAACAGCATTCCCCTATCCCACTATTCAACCCCTATTTCCACATTTGCAGAACTCTAAATTACTCTTAAGCAGAGTAATTCAAACTACCATTTGTTCTTTCTTGTTCCTGATCATGCAGGGTGAGGGATGGAGGTGAGCGGTTTTTATCTTTCTCACCCAGAGAGACCATCAAGATAGTTTCTAAACCAAAAGCCATCTTTGCCGATATGTTATACAGTGAATTCCCAAGTATGCTAAATATGTGGCTGCAATCAGTTCTTATTTTAAATAGCATTCCTCTCTCCCCTCCCCCCAACCCACAATGTGAGCATACAAGGCAGTGCTCTTTTCCTGGGCCACCACCAGTCTACCCTGTCTTGTATTCCTGTATCCTTATCCTTGTGTTGCTGGCTCCATAGCAGTAGTTTTTAACCGGGATGATTTTGCCCCTAAGGGAACAATTGGCAATATCTAGAGACTTTTGATTATCACAACTAGCATCTAGTGGGTAGAGTGAGAGTTGTTAGTAGCATCTAGTGGGTAAACATTCCTACAGTGCACAAGACAGCTCCCCACAGCAAAGAATTATTCAGCCTCAAATGTCAGTAGTGCAAACCTGAGAAATCCTGCTCCATAGTGAGAGCTTCCGATGCAGAGTTTACTAATGACTTTATAAATAATAGCAGGGAGGCAAGAGAGTGAATATTCATATCCCTCGCCCTTCCCTTTTGTTCTTTGCCTGGTGGCTGGGAAGAAATCTAAGGTAAATGAGACTTGGTCCTGGTCTTTGAGCAGCCCACTCTCGTGGGACTTGTTTTTGTTACTTGGAAGTGAAGGTGGGGTGTGAATACAAACAATTATATCATAACATGATAAGCCTGAAGAAAAGTAGGTAAATAGGGTTCAAGTGCCTGAGCCTCCTGACTCAAGTGCCTGAGTCATAGAGGAGGTAATTTAGAACTGGCTTTGAAGGATGGGAAAGGAGAATGCCAAGTTGAATAAGCAGGAGTAGAACATACCAAGTGAAGGGAATTTCGTATTAAAGTGGGCGGCATTTTCAAAGAGTAGCCTAAAGTTCCCTGGTACATGGGCAGATGGAAGATGGGTTTAAAGCTAAGCTGGTGCAAGACAGCAAGGCCTTTAATGCCAGCCAGAGAGTTATGACCTTGTCCCACAGGCTTAAGATTTTGTTAAGCTTCATAGTGACATTAACCAAATTAATTTTAGAAATTTTAGTTTTAGAATTAATTTTAGTTTTAGGAATTTGAGGGGCCATGTGGAGAGTAGATTAGAATAGGGAGTAGCTAGAATGAAAACATCTGGTAAGGAAGCTATTGCATGGAGATGGAAATGGGGTGGCAGATTCTAGAAACAAAGGTAGATGAGGTAAAGAGGGGGATAGTGAAGGAAAACAAAGGCTCGAGTCTAACTTTGTAAATTCTTGCTGAGGCAGCTGGCAGAGAGGGTTCTCACCTCTCATTCATACCTCTCTACACAATTTCCACTTCTGTAATACTAAATTTTAAATGCCACCTGTGGACAGAGGTAGCTGACTGCTGGTTAAGTGAATTTGTTATGTACCATCCTCACCTGTGATTTTCTGAGGCTACTGATGATTGAGATGCATTCATCTTTCCTGTCTTAATGTTTTCGGATGGTCGGCTCTATTAGAAATATTTAAGAAAGCCAAAGAACTGAAGTATTTAGTACCAAAGACCAAAGCCTTCCCAGCATCAATGTTTATATTTTGTTTATGTAGGTCCTTCTCCCGGACTTAGAATTTTACATTAATCTTGGAGATTGGCCCTTGGAGCATCGAAAGGTCAATGAAACCCCTGGCCCTGTACCTATCATTTCATGGTGTGGCTCTCTGGATTCAAGGGACATTATACTTCCAACATATGACATCACCCACTCCACACTGGAAGCAATGAGGGGTGTTACAAATGATCTTCTCTCCATTCAGGGAAATACAGGTAAATTAAGGTTAATGCTCTAAGAAAAAGATTAGAGGTAAAAAGGTAAAGGAAATGTTCAGTTAGAGACAGTAAATGTGTATATCTTTTAAAAACCATTCTTCTTATTTTATTACCAAGAGAAAAGAAAAATAGCACATTAAATGCTAAAGTGACTTGTTTAGGATTCTTCTAATCCAGAAATTAAAGATACATGGTTTGGCCCAGTAATGCCCAAACCTACCTTCA